TTCTGTGGAACGTATCAACGGCATAAAAATAGACACGACTGTAAAATATAATAAAATGTATATAGTATTATATAATATAGTATACATTTGCTACATTCCAAGTTAATTAATAGATTCAATAAGCATTGTTCATGAATAAAAAAAAGTAATAATAATCGGGTCTCGAACCCGAGACTTTCGCACGTTGACTCGTTACCATGCACGTATGATATTTAGTTACCGTGACGTACAGATTGAGAAAACTGTATTTCAGTTGTTATACACGTTTGGAGTTTGCTTAGAGTACTCTAATACATACGCTTAACCAATCAAAAACGTGGGTATGGTTCGAAGCTTCTCCGTCCAGGTGACGCGTCGACAATAGAAAACACACGCTTTACAGTGCCACCCGTTATAATCCATGCGTCTCACGGAGCTCAGAAATATCACGCATAGTATATCTATATATACTCGACCAATCAAAAACGTGGGTATGGTTCGAAGCTTCTCCGTCCAGGTGACGCGTCGACAATAGAAAACACACGCTTTACAGTGCCACCCGTTATAATCCATGCGTCTCACGGAGCTCAGAAATATCACGCATAGTATATCTATATATACTCGACCAATCAAAAACGTGGGTATGGTTCGACGACCCTCCGCTCAGGTGGCGCGTTTACTCCAAAATAAAATTGGTTTCAACAATATCGGCCCATTGGCAATCTCCCAACTCATCTCTGTAGGCTCGAAGTGGTCGCGAACAATGACGTCATCCGTGACGTTTCGAGCACGATCGCAAAGACCGCGGGCGCATTGTAAAACAGCTCAAGGGGCGTCGCGAGCCTTGCAAATTTTTTAGTGGAACGCATGTTTGTCTTTATTAGACGATCCTGTGGTTTTTACATTATTGACCGAGATCAATAAGTTTCAAAGTGACTGACAAGTTGATTATTCACAGAATCTTTATTAGTTATGTTCGTTAATTGTTTTTTTAATATATCCAATTTCATAACACAGGCATTTTGCTTGCTAATTTTGCTCAAAAGTTATAAAAAAACTCAAAAATTATTCTTTTTTCATGTCCATAAAACCTTGACCAAGTAGAATCTTATTATACTTATTATTCATTAACCAATGTTCCTTTATTTACAATCGTAGTTTCTTCACATTCAGCTGGCAATCTTATGAACAGAATTATAGAGCACGACATAAGTTTATTTCATTTTATTACTATTTGTTGATTTCAACTGAAGTTTTTCGAAAAGATGAATGATACAGTTTTGTATCGAACCATTTCGGATAAATGGAAAATTCATAGTTATATAAAAATTAGTTTAAAAAATAGTACAATTTGAAAATTAAAAATGTTATCAGATAAACCAGACCTTATAAATGCATTTTCTTTATACTTTTGCCGTTTTGATTCTTGAAAGTATCCATCAAATGAAATAATTTAAATTTCCAAGAAAAAAAAAAAAAGAGGAAAAAAACAAGTATCTTAACATTTGTCATAGTTTTGCTTCTTTTGAGAAATCAATATACCGAGGAGATATTGGTAAAGACAGATAGTCTCCGCATATTCTGTGTCCGAAACAAAATGTATGGCATTTCAACACTCACGTAAACTTTTATACTGATTTAGCGTATCTTCCGAGCTCCTTGTACAGTCGGCTGAAACGATTCTGACGCATAAAAAACGTGGCTAGAGGCTTCCCCTACTCAGCATACTCTTCAGTCCTACGTTATAGATATACTGCGCGTCATAGATGCGCATAGAATCAGCAGTATATGGCTTAGGACTGAAGAGCGTGGTGAGTAGGGGAAGCCTTCTCCTCTAGCCATGTTTTTTATGCGTCAGAATCGTTTAAGCCGACTGTACCCACTAGGCCTCAGATACAAAGTCCCAAAACGGCCCTCTTCATGATCATCTTTTCGGTGATCATTAAATTGTTACTGAATTTAAAAACTGGTATACATAGATGTATAAGTAACAAAGCCATATGTGTGAGAAATTAATTGTATAGACTAATAAAATATGCGCATGTACTTGTTTGGGAAGTCTAATGTGTCTTAAACAAAAACTACCATAAGTTATTCACTTATATGTTATCAACCTTTCATCTGTCATCTACTTATAATTTATAGTTCATCAATTATCAATAATCATTTGTTACTTATGAAAGTCCTATTTTCATTGTCACTCATTCTTTCATAAAATTTGGTGACTTTTTTATTATTTCCAGTTTTTGAAACTATTTGCTATCGGAGATAAGTAATATTAATGGATTTCATATGGATGCGCACATGTGCGCTTATGTACTATGCATCTCTTTATATATCACAAATTTGAGTCGTAATACTAATTTAAACATATATCTTTACACCCTAGTTGCCGCTCATTAAACTGTACCCTATGTTTAAAATTGCATTTCTCTTTTCATTGTGTTTGAACAGGATTCTCTTATTCAAGTTGTAAAAAAACAAGTAGCATAACCAAAAAATAGAATTACGATTGTAACATAAAATGTAAACTACATCTAACCGCCGCTTTCTTTTATCACTATACATTTTTTACAACAATATTGCATTCTATAATTTTGTAATATAAAAATATACTACAAGTTACGAAATCAGGTAACTAAAAAAAAGATTTGTTTACAATGTAGCAGATATTATTATAGAGTAACATCTTTTGTCATAATACATTAGAAAAATTCAATTCATCTTAAATGAGTATCCTGTCCAAAGACGATATTACGAAAAACTGTGTAACCTTGATACGAGTGTAAAATTTTAGTCTTTACCGAACGCACAATCCTTTATAATATCTTCCTTGGTAATGTTCTGATTCATTTGATCGTTTTCATATTCGACAAAATCGTCGAATAAGCTAGGCCATGCCTCGGCGTCGTCGTAGGCGCCAAGATCATCACCGACTGATTCAGCGAAATTTAAAAACATGTTCCATGTATCTCGAGGAATTCCACGTACGTGATGAAACTCAAGGAACCTCAGCCATTTGACGAGAAGCGGAGGTTCGCGAATTGTAAACACAAGCCTCCAAAGAACGATCGCCATATCTGCCGGCAGGATCCTCTGGCCAGACGCAACGTCCAATCCAAATCGGAATGTAAATCGATATAGATCCTTAAAGAGTTCGCCATTCACCATTAATTCCTGAACAACTTCGGGTAATCGGGATTGAATACCGCGTATACTATCAACTCGCATTGCTTTCAGTCCTGCGACAAATTCTTGGCGCGTAAACTGGCACATTTGTCCTGCGTTCAACTTCCATGCAAGAACTAAAACTTTAAATTCATCTGGTGAGAGCTGTAGGTCCTCACAAAACCGTTCTATACCATCAGCCAAGATAATATCTTCATGTTGATCCTAACACACAATTTATAAAATAATTGTTAAAAATGGAACTTAAATTTACCAGTCCTTAATATACAAACCTTGTACTGATCAAAAAGGATGTTGAGTTTATTTTCCCACAGTTCTTTCTGCTGCTTTGACTCAATAGTTTGGTTAAGGCCTGAACTGTTGCCAGAACGGCCTAGAGGTGGTAATCGCGTATAAAAACCACGCGATGCACGTTGATTGTTCTGCGTGATAGGTACAGATCCACAATTATCAGAACCAATGCTATTGAACGTAGTTAGTGTACTTAAAGGTGGTTTGTTTCCATTGGCATGCATTTCTATAGATGTCAAAGGACTAGTTTGTGGACAAGAATCTGGAGGACAAACACCTCTGAGTTCCATAGTTTCTAGAAAAATATTATATATTAATGATAGTATTAGTAAGTCTCAATATGGTTATGAAAAAAATTAAATCAATTTTGTTATAATAATTAGTTTTACTAACATTCTAACTAAACAAAAAGAATATTAATAGTTGTGGTGTGGTCATATAAACTCTCAGATTCAAAAGTTAAATTTTGAATACGCTGATATAGATGTGCATGTACAGAGGACATACCATGTTTATGCTCCAAAACAATAGGTTGATTTGTAGTAGACGGTGGAAGCACCTTGAAACACGAAAAGCAGTTTCCCATTGATACTGTCCGTTCTTAAAGTTACAGTTGATTACCCCTTGCATCAGTGGTTCAGTCTTAGATTGGCAGTCTTGATCAAAAACTATAAAGGAATAAATCATTTTATTGCATATACTTATACCCAATCATTCATTCTGAATAATATCATTTGAGAGGAATACTTAAAAATCTCTGTAACTGTCCCCAAGCAAGAGAAATGCATACTTTTTGAATCTACATTTAGAACTGTCATCTACATGTCATCTACATTGTAAGAATAATAAGTTTAACAGTTGTCTACTTGAGAATTTTCCTAACTCATTGTAGTTCTATACGGATCGACCTGTATTAAACAATTATTTTATAAAAAAAAGAATACATTTCTACTATTTATGGCATACTTTGTAAAGATAAATTTTTTAGAAATCCACGTGTCAGTAATAATACGAACTTCCTAGTTTTTCGTCTGTTACTTGATTTTACTCCCAGAACGATTAAGTCCAATGATGTGATTACACGGGTAGACATGTGTATGTGTATGCATGTGCATTGCGCAAGCACTCCCATCAATAAATATGCGCATGCGCTACATGAACACATGTTCACATCGATGAAATAGGAGCGAAATGTAATGCAATTTACGTTTCACGAGTTGCTGCTGTCTGTAAAATTAGTTTCATGAAACGTGAGACAAACTATTTGCACTTGAAGAAACTCGTGTACGTGAGGCGTGCATTATAAAATATAGCGTATCTCTCAGGTTCCACGAACGTTTCTTTAGCTGATTCCTCGGCACTGAAATCACGAATGAAGCATGAAGAATGGTAGTGGAGTATAGAGAGGTTGGATGCAAGTACTGCCTTATCGTTGAAACAGATTTTTGATTTTTCGGATTCGTGTTTTCTACGGTCTTCCGTATAAAATATCCCGTTCTGCAGTCCGCATTAATGCACCGTTCTCACTCGCTTAAAAGTTAACTCACTACTAAGCCAGAAGTACGTAAGGCTGTTTTTTCCTTGTCCTGACGTCCACCTCAACAAAATGTCACCGAGTATCACTGTCATTTGTTGCCGCGGCACCTTATTTTCTATTGTTTGAATGTTAACAGTCTTTCGGAGTTACGCATCAGGATATTCAATGCCTAGGAGCAACACTCACGAAATATCTCGCATGCAAATGCGCATTTCTATTTTTGAGAAGCATTACACAAAACTCCCTGTTTTCTGTAGCACTTCGTGGCCACAGAATAAAATCTCTAAAGGGAATCATCCGATTATGAATTTTCAATTTTATAAACATTGGAAATGTGAATAGACGTCAATCAATCGCGTATTAGAATTAAAAGAAAGCAACTGCAACGATTGGCTGACACTTATGCCCGTTTGCTTCGACGTGGTTTAAACCCAGTTCAATTTTTTAAATATAGCTTTAAGATAGGTTAACCAGAGCTTTAACTTCGATTAACGTCGGAGGAAACGGGCATTATTCGCTTTACGTATTTTCATGAAAAATGAAAGCTCATAATAATTGTGCCCCACACTGAAAATAAGTACATTGGACGCGTACGGCATTCGATAGAGGTCGCGTAGAGATAGATAGCAAGAAAACAAGCCAATGTAGTAGGCTGTCTCTATCACACACTGTACAGTCTCTGAAAAAGTTTAAGCTGATTGTGAGATAAAGCAGTGCTCATGGGGAAGACTAAAGCCCGTATTCAGAACTCGCTCTTAAGGTCACTAACAGAGTCACTATTAGTTAAAAGTGACTGCGCCGAGTTGTTAGTGACCGTATTCAGAACTCGCTTTTAAGCCGCTTTTAGCTAAAGGTACGCTAACAGGGAGCAGCGTCTTGTAACATGTACTTTCAATCGCGTTCGGAATCATTCGGAAAGACTCGGGCATATTCGATTGTGTCCGGGAGTTTTTGGTGGCATTCGGAAAGCGCAAACTGCAGCCATATTTGAAATTCGAAATTCAAGAATTCCCTTTTTTGAAGCCAAGCTATTAATATTCAATTAATACGTTAAAACTATTATAAGACAGGCATGACATGAAAATGAAAAAAAAATAAACGGTTGTAGATCATCATGAAACGAAAGGAGAATTTCACCCTCGAAGAAAAAGCATTAGTCATACAATTCGTAAGCGACAATCCTGATATACTAAAGAATAAAGCAAATAATGCTTGATTGCAAAAAAGTAAAAGAGACAAATGAATGAAACTAACAGAGAAAATGGCAGCGACTGGAATTAAGAGGGAATGGAAAGATATGAGATGCATAGCAGAAGAAACTCACAGCAAAGAAGACTATTTCTTGCTATCGCAAGCGTGCGAGTGGTGCAGGTAGAGGTTTTGCTCTCTCAAAACCTTCTGGGCTCGATTTCAAAATCAAGAAAATTTGCTTGGAAAATTTTGTGGAGGATGAAGTTCCCCACAAATTTGATAGCCTCTGAGCATTGAACACGGCCGAAATGCGTAATGATGACGTCACGTACGAAAAGGATCACGTCTCTCTCGAAAAACTTGCGGATTTCTTACTTTCATTTCATTAGCTGCGCTGACTTCATCTATCTCGGCAATAGCCTCCATCTGGTGCGCCATATTTGAGCGACCTGTCACTTTAAACATGCCCCTGCCCACATCTACGAACAGGATCACTAAACAATTCAAACGGATCACGTCTCTCTCGAAAAACTTGCGGATTTCTTACTTTCATTTCATTAGCTGCGCTGACTTCATCTATCTCGGCAATAGCCTCCATCTGGTGCGCCATATTTGAGCGACCTGTCACTTTAAACATGCCCCTGCCCACATCTACGAACAGGTCGCTGTTAGTCACAAGATGGCGCCTAATAGCGCGCTGTTAGAGGCTTAAAAGCGGTTCTGAATAGGCTTTTTCGCTAATAGCGCGCTATTAGCTGTTAGTGACCTTAAGAGTGACCATAAAAGCGGTTCTGAATACGATCACCTATAAACTCACAAACAAATAATTTAAAAGCGCGCTATTAGCACTAAAAGCGAGTTCTGAATACGGGCTTAAGTCAACACAGCGTAACCTGAAATAATGGCACATATATTTTATTTCAAAGCTGCTAAATATTTTATTATCGTTTTTACAAAGTTTTACGAATTTGGAATTGGCGTACTTGACCGCAGTTAAAAGTGATTTTAAATCTCTCATCACAATTTGTTATTTAATGCATAAAACTTTACAGAAATTCAGAAATAACTGCAAAAATTTAGTACAGATTATACTGATTTAACTATTATGAATTGCTCCAGACTCATTAAATGATAAATTTAAAATTCGAGGCTACTATGTAAATAATAGACGTAGCTAGTTCTACTTTTATGTGATAAAAGAATAACGGAACCACGAAAGAAATAGTATTGCTTTTAGGTTAATTTCAATATGAACCAAACACAAAAATATTGTTTTATATGTTGAATTTTTTAAATACATTTGTTGTGTTTTATTACTTAGTTCGATAGTAAAAATGTTATAATAGAAATATAATATTTACAATTTAATTATCATAAATAATTAGTAGTGCTAACTATTACCAAATATTTAGCTGGCGCACCATATTTATATAAAACCTGCGTGAAGTTGGCCGGCCAACTTTTATTTTTTAAACTTTTTTTTATTCCAATCGTTTGATAGTCGTTTGATAGTGTTTAATAGTCTTGTAAAAACGTTTGATAGTCATTAGTTTTTTCAGAAAATCAAAATCAAAACCTGGTGTGAAGTTGGCCGGCACTTTTTTGTTTCTAACCGGATTTTGTTTTTCCGGAGTTTAATCGATGCAAAATCGTTTGATAGTTGCGGATTAATTAATAAAAACGAGAAACGACAGTCAACTTCACATCGTACATCGATTTGGCTCTTCTGAAAAAACTATTGACTACCAAACGTTTTTACAAGACTATCAAACACTATCGAACGACTATCAAACGATTGGAAGTAGAAAAAGGTTGCAATATAGTCTAATTCAACGGACACACCGATCGAGGAATCGATTGTATCGTATCGATTGGATCCTTGATTCGCATGTGGGTTTTCTCATTTTTCTTGCAAACGATGGACTATCAAACGTTTTTATTAATTAATTCGCAACTATCAAACGATTTTGCATTGATTGAGCTCCGGAAAAACAGAATCCGGTTAGAAACAAAAAAGTGCCGGCCAACTTCACACCAAATTTTGATTTTGATTTTCTGAAAAAATTAATGACTATCAAACGTTTTTACAAGACTATCAAACACTATCGAACGACTATCAAACGATTGGAAGTAGAAAAAGGTTGCAATATAGTCTAATTCAACGGACACACCGATCGAGGAATCGATTGTATCGTATCGATTGGATCCTTGATTCGCATGTGGGTTTTCTCATTTTTCTTGCAAACGATGGACTATCAAACGTTTTTATTAATTAATTCGCAACTATCAAACGATTTTGCATTGATTGAGCTCCGGAAAAACAGAATCCGGTTAGAAACAAAAAAGTGCCGGCCAACTTCACACCAAATTTTGATTTTGATTTTCTGAAAAAATTAATGACTATCAAACGTTTTTACAAGACTATCAAACACTATCATACGGCTATCAAACGATTGGAATAAAAAAAAGTTAAAAAAATAAAAGTTGGCCGGCCAACTTCACGCAGGTCTAGAAGCTTGGTGGGACATTAGTGTTAGCTAGCCTGGTCGACAACGTAGGAGAAGAAAATGCCCCACCAAGCTCCCTATTGCGAATGAGGGGCCGCATTGCCGTATCCCTTAAACTTGTGCTATGCAACAAGGATGCGCCGAGCGCGCTTTGGCGTCTCGCTCGTACCGTAGTGCTCTCTGCGTTGCACGCACAGGCAGAGGTACGTGATCAGGCACCACCCAGTCCCCTCTCTTACTTCACTGCACCAAGTCAACAAGGTGGACGCATTAATGACGCTCAGTGTACATGATTTTAGGAGTATACTACAATTTTTTTTTCAAAATGGTGTCTTAGCAGCTTATTCAACAAAACCTCTTGTTCATAACAGTGTTATGCGGCTGGACGAATTACTTTTTGGAGGTTTGACCTGAAACAAAAATCCAATAATTTTCAATTCTATATAAGAATAGCTGCAGAAGGTCTAATCAGAACTTTGATTTTAGACGTGCGTCATTTTTACAAAACACGCCATTTTTTAATTTCTCTACGTATTTCTATAGCTATTCTTATACAGAACTGAAAAATGTTTTTTTTTTTTTTTGTTTCGGGTTAAACTTCCAAGGAGTGATTTGTTTGGCCGGTGTTTTAAACACTGTTTTGAACAAGAGAGTTTGTTGGTTACGCCACCATTTTGAAAAAAAATTAAACAAAAAAGAAATGAAGAAAAAAGAAGTTTTTGTCTCTAGACGCGAACGCGGCACCTTACGATTACGAAGCTGAATCGTTGTCAACGCGCCCAATGCATGTTTTTCATACATGATGATCCATAGCTGGTGGAAATGCGCAACCTCACTTGTTGCGATACGGACTCTCATGAAGATGTAAGAGAAAAATTGACAGCAGTTGAAAAAAATCTCGTTTCCGCTTAACGCTTTTGCATTTCTAACATAGATACATTTCTCCATTTCATTTTTTGTTCTGCTTCGAGGGCCCTCCGCTAAGGTGGCGCGCCGAAACCAGAGAAAAATTGAGACCATCAAAAACAGGCTCATTGGCAATCTCCCTACTCATCTCTGGTGGGAGAGAGAAATAGGAACGGGCCCCTTATCTATCTCACTGTACAATCGGCTGTGGGAGAGAGGAATAGGAACGGATCGCTTGATCGCAACGCCTCTTGTGGTCATGAAGCGAAATGAAAAATGCTTCTAAAAGAGGACTACCCCCTCCAAGGGAGTTGCAAGACCTATATGTAAGACCGTGAGTCCGGCCAACTCCGTGATCCGTTCCTATTTCTCTCTCCCACAGCCGATTGTAAAGTGAGATAGATAAGGGGTCGCTCGATCGCAGCGACGCTTGTGACTAAAATTTAAAATGTGCCGTGCTTCAAAACCACGTCTACCCCCACCGCTGAAAATTGGGCGAGTTGCAAGACCTGTATGTAAGACCGTGCTAGAGGGACTCTATCAAAACACAGCTCCAGATTCTCACGCGTAGTATTACTATATATACTCGACCAATCAAAAACGTGGAGCTGCTTCGAGGGCCCTCCGCTAAGGTGGCGCGCCGAAACCAGAGAAAAATTGACTTCACCAAAAACAGGCTCATTGGCAATCTCCCTACTCATCTCTGGTGGGAGAGAGAAATAGGAACGGGCCCCTTATCTATCTCACTGTACAATCGGCTGTGGGAGAGAGGAATAGGAACGGATCGCTTGATCGCAACGCCTCTTGTGGTCATGAAGCGAAATGAAAAATGCTTCTAAAAGAGGACTACCCCCTCCAAGGGAGTTGCAAGACCTATATGTAAGACCGTGAGTCCGGCCAACTCCGTGATCCGTTCCTATTTCTCTCTCCCACAGCCGATTGTAAAGTGAGATAGATAAGGGGTCGCTCGATCGCAGCGACGCTTGTGACTAAAATTTAAAATGTGCCGTGCTTCAAAACCACGTCTACCCCCACCGCTGAAAATTGGGCGAGTTGCAAGACCTGTATGTAAGACCGTGCTAGAGGGACTCTATCAAAACACAGCTCCAGATTCTCACGCGTAGTATTACTATATATACTCGACCAATCAAAAACGTGGAGCTGCTTCGAGGGCCCTCCGCTAAGGTGGCGCGCCGAAACCAGAGAAAAATTGAGACCATCAAAAACAGGCTCATTGGCAATCTCCCTACTCATCTCTGCTAATAGCACCTGCATTTTTATTTCTAAAGCCTTTATACAGTTGAAAACATATAACATCATCGTACCAGAAATCACTTATACATATAATATAGAGAATTGAATACCGTTGGAGTGCTCATCACAGCTTTGGTGGCTAACGAATCCACCTCGCCAGATTCACGCAGTCGAATCTGCCGCGAACACGATAGTAGCGACGATCAGGACGTCACATAACACTATTCTTCGTGTGTTTCACACGACTGCACACAATTTATTACATGTATTGCTAACATCATCGTCTCTCTTTTCCCCTTAATGTATCTGAGAAAGATACATTAAATCAAACATACAGTGATCTATGAAACAGACTACTATTTGGGTTGTCTATTTGTATCATGGGTGGGTACATACATATATTACTAAGTTCATTCCGTTCGTTCCTTCGTAGCGTAAAGCTATCTAGATATTACCATGTATAGAAGACAATATGGCGGCAAACCTCGAGGAGGAGCAAAGTTTGCGCGAGTGTGAAGAGTACGTACAGAGGCACAATATTCAGCAAGTTTTAAAGGATTGTATTGTGCAGCTTTGCGTTAGTCGTCCTGAGAATCCAATATCTTTTTTACGTGAATACTTTCAGAAGCTTGAAAGGGTGAGTATGTAGTTCTCTCTTCTCTGTCAGATAGCCTTTCTTTATTTTTTCTATTATGTTCCTTGAATACGTGTAGTTTTTTCATATTACGGACTGTAAGCAGATATTTTTGCGTTTTTTAAATAAAGAAAGAGCACTGGTTTATAATGTATTAATACTTGCCATTTGTACTTTTCTTGTTTATTCCAATTAGAGATTTTTAGCCAATAGAGATATTTAGCCAATTCGAGATCAACATGTATCAAAATTTGTTAATGTCTTATATTATAATGCTTTATTCATATTAATCGTCTAAGAATTACTTTACTATCGCGTATTTATTTAATTTTTTTGTTTTTCTTTTTGGTTTGACTGACTTTTTTCATTGTTCTAAGTGGACATGATTTTGATATAATAGCTTATTATAGCAACACATTTTATAATAAAAATCATATTTGGTACATACTTTAATAGTTTGATCTTAGTCAATACACAATATTAATGTAGTACGAGTGGTACAGTCCCATCATGTGAGAGTGAACATGAACAAAAGTTTTAAGTAAATGTAAAGCATGAAATTGAAACTCAGTAGGTCAGATTTGAGAAGTAAGGTGCGGTTTACATAAAAAAAAAAAATACTTGTAAAATTATTAACAGTGAAGCAACAATAGTGTAGTTGCTTAGAGGTCATACCTTGTACCATTTTTTTGAAGAAAAATTTATATCACTTTTCCGATTTTAATGTATTATAGCTTATTATATTCATTAAACGATTCTCTGGAGGCCTACCAGATTAGATTTTTTGATTAGCCCTATTCTTCCTCAGAAAATGTTGTTAAAGAAATTGATTATTGTATCATAGTATAAACAAATAGCTATATTCTTAAACCATAGATTTTTAGAAAATATCTATTTTGGTGGATCTCTAATGAATCTTTTAAAGAATAAAATAAGCTATAGTACATTGAAATGAGAAAAGTGATGTAGATTTTTCTTAAAAAAAGAAATGGTACAAGATATGACTAAGCAACTAACTACCCTTTCTTGTGTCACTGTTAATCATTTTCAAATTATTATTTCATTTTATGTCAGAGGCACTTTGCTTTTTCTCAAATATAGCTTTCTGAATGTTAATTTCACGCTTCACATTTTTTTAATACTTGTTCATTTTCACTTTCTTATGATGGGACTGTACCGCTCATACTACGTTAAATACATATTAGCAATATTAGAATTTCTTTCTTACAAGTATAATAGTTATAAAAAAACCTAATCTACGTAACTATTATTTCCAAGCAAAAAAAAAACTTGTGTAAAAAATTGCTAAGTATAAGATTGCTGTGAACCTCTCTCCTTAAAAAATATGTTTATATTTTATATTAATGTTCAACATCCAAAAAGTATTGAAATCATACTATAATATCAAGTACATAAGTCATTGGATATTTGCTTATTATATGATCTTGCGCTAGCTCGTCATTTTAATTATATTTCCAGAATTTCCTCTGATATCTTTATTACTGTTTTATGATATTAATACTGCTTATATTTAAGTGTAATTTAATTGTCATTTAATAATTTAGAAAACAAAGTGATTCTTTAGCAAGTACTACTTGGTGAGTTTGTACATTACTTAAAATAAATATGTCTTTATTATCCCACAGTCTTTGACTTAATCTAGACTCAACTTTCAAAATGCAGCATTTGCATTTGGTGTAGCCTAGCCTAGCCATTTGCAAATCCATCGCTACCTCTTCAATGAATTTGATTTATTTAACCCTTTCATGTACAAATTTTTTTCTTATTAGCGATTCACTTGAAATTTTGCATAAATGGATTTTTGGGGTCGCTTACGAAACTGAAATTCGGAAGTAAATTCAAAAACTTATTTGATTCTGAAAAAACTTAGTATAGGATGGTTTCTAAGGTCGCTAATGACGAGTGTAAGTTCAAAATTTGAAAATTCAAAGTGGCAGATCCAATATTACGGACCAAAATTCAAAAAGTTTTTCGATTTTCATGAAACTTAGTACTTTATGGTTTTTGGGGCTACTGATTACAAATCTCACAAGGAAAGGACCAGGTGTGGGTTTTTTAGTTTTTTTTTCCCCACCCCTGAAGAGGCATATACTCCTCCCTAAAGCCTTTTTAGTAGGTAAACAGTCGTTTCCGAGAAAAGTTATTCGGAAAATTCATGAATTTGTACAGGGTAAGTACATACTTGGACAAGCAAAAAATAGTCAGAGGTAGGTTGGTGGTATATTGGTAACGAGCCTGCCTGCTAATCAGAATGCTGCAGGTTCGATTGTTTTTCCATCCATTTTTTTTTATTGTTATGAGTAGTTATTGAACTTTATTAATAAATTTTACAAAAATTATCAAAAAATAAGTAATTTACACAATTTTTTAAATGTAAACTTTTCAAAGTATTTTTATCTTTTTTTCTTTATTTATTTATTTTTTTGAGCGTACATATTTATTTTTCCTTTGACTATGTTAAAAAGGTCCTTTTCTCCCATATTAGTATTTTGGGCGTTATTCGCCGCAAAGTAGGCTCCAATAACATTCAACTTTTCCTTTTGTCGGTTTATAATAAAATTATTATCCTGGTCTCTGATGGTCGAAGATCAAGAGACTCGGTTGAGTCTCGCGCCAAGTACATGCGACCCGCCGTACGGGGCACGGCCCGCCGAGACTCTTTACTCGAAGCATCTCTTGTACCTGTGTTTCGACTAAAATATTTTATGAACGGCTGTATGTAAGAAAAATGTATTGATACATTCACTGTTGGAATCAAGGGTTCTGAATTGATTGCCATAAAATTCAATACGAGTAGTGTACAGGATTAGTACGTATTCACATGGCGAGCGAGATGATTTAATTTCAGGTCCGTCGTCGTCGTCGTCGTCATCGTCTTCGCACGTCCATCGAATTTTTTACACGACAGATGGCGCTGACTGCTTTGCCTTCTTTACCTATTTGTACTCTCTGTATAGTGTTGGTAGGTTACGAATGCACAACACAATCAAATACACTTCATAGTGAAGCTACCGTTCATACCGAATTTCCAGTTAGTATAAGTCGTCGTCGTCGTCGTCGTCGTCGTCTTCGCACGTCCATCGCATTTTTTACACAACAGATGGCGCTGACTGCTTTGCCTTCTTTACCTATTTGTACTCTCTGTATAGTGTTGGTAG